ACTGGGACTACTACTACTACTACTACTACTACTACTACTGCTACTACTACTGCTCTGACTACTACTACTACGACTACTACTCCCACTACTACTACTACTACTACTACTACTATCAAACGCTGCATACTACTACTATTCTACGGACTAATTCTACTATTTTCACTACACTCGTAATCACTTACTGCTGCTTACTTTACTACTACTGCTTACTACTACGACTACTACGAGTACTCCTACTACTTACTACTACTACTACTACTACTTACTACACTACTACTAATAATACTACTACTACTACGACTACTGGGACTACTAATATACTTTACTTACTACTACTACTACTGCACTACTACTCGCTCTGACTACTACTACTACGACTACGACTCCCCTACTAACTACTACTACTACTCTATTACTACTACTACTATACTACTCTTAATACGACTAACTACTTATACTACTACTACTACTACTTACTACTTACTACTACTACTTACTATACTATTATACTGCTCTACTACTACTACATACTACTACTACTACTACTAATAATACTACTACTAATACTACTACTACTACTACTACTACTACTACTACTACTACTACTACTACTACTACTACGATGGCTAGTAGTAGCATGATTATTCTTCTCCATAATGATACGATGGTGTTTATGTTTATGTTTATGCTGATGCTTATGCTTGTGAACATGCTGAGTTTTACCATGTTTACTATTGTTACTATTCCTTCTCCTCCTCCTCCTCCTCCTCATCTTCGTTGTCCGGCTCCTCCGCCTCTTCTTCTTCCTCCTCCTCCTCTTTCCTCCTCTCCTCCTCCTCCTCCTCCTCCTCCACCCTCCTCCCCCTTCTCATCCTCCTCTTCCTCCATCTCCTCCCCCTCCATCTCCTCCCTCCTCTCCTCCTCCTCCTCCTCCTCCTCCTCCTCCCTCTTCCCTCCTCCATCCTCTTTCCCCCTCCCTCCTCCTCTCGCAGGCTCCCAGAGGGCCTTTCAGAGGCATCTCCAACAAGGGAAGTCGCCAGCGCCTTTGCCCAGGCCTGAAGCTGCGGGCGCGAGTGCAGGAACAGGCAGCGCACAATGCAGAGGGCTCGCTCTTGTGTTTACCTTCGTTTCAGCCGAGGGAGCCGGCGGAGCCAAGACGCCGAGGCAGACCCAAAACGACGACGCCACGAAAAACTGTACTTATACAGACACATGCCGATGAATTCCCCCTGTGCTTTCAAAGAGGGTGACGGTGTATAAAATCGCTGGCCTTTGATAATAATTTATACAGTGTCACACTCCCCTGAGGCACACGAACAATCCACTGAGAGGCGTGTGTGCCATTGCTTGTGACGGACCTGACCTCCCCTCCTCCTCCATCCCTCTCGTCCTCACAGACTAACTCCTCCTGTAGCACTACCAGACGTGTCGACAGGGGGCGGAGCTGGGCGCTCCGCTTGACCCGAAGGAGAGGCATGAGCCACTCCTGCTGTTGCTGCTGCTGCTGCTGCTGCTCCTCCTCTTCCTCCTCTTCCTCCTCCTCCTCCTCCTGCTAAGAGGTCTGGGCAGTGGCAGGAAACCAGAAAAATGAATCGGCGCGACCCCACTTAGGGGAAAGCTTCCTAATGCATGGGCGCACTGCTTGGCACTGCTTGGCGCTGCTTGGCACTGCTTGGCATTGCTTGGCACTGCTTGGCATTGCTTGGCACTGCTTGGCACTGCTTGGCACTGCTTGGCACTGCTTGGCACTGCTTGGCACTGCTTGGCACTGCTTGGAACGGGCGCAATAAGAATACGAGGCACCGGGGGCGGGGAACCCGGGGAACCTGGGTAGCCCGAAGAACCCGAAGAACTCAGGGAACCCGGGGATCCTGGGGAACCCGAGGAACCCAGGGAACCTCCGGGCAACCTCCGGGCAACGGGCAACGTAACAATAGGAGGCACCAGGGGCGGGGAACCCGAGGAACCCCAAGAACCTCTGGGCAACGGGCCACGTGACATCACGGGGCACCAACCTCTAACTAGGTATCCCTTAGGCAGGCCTGATCGGGGAACGGCCAAAACCCACGCCATGGCAGTCGCAAGTGGGGCACCGGGAGGCCGCGCGCGGGATGCACACGCGGAAGCCCAGGCCTGCGCGGCCGTACAGGGACCGGGTGCTGGAAAGACGTCTGGCCCCGTGCGTGCATCCTCCGCGTATCCGACTTTCGCCAAGGCCGGCCCCATCGCCCCGATCCCCCGGCCCAGACACGCCCCCGCCGGTCCGCGGACACCTCCTGGCCAGTCTCCCGGGCGCTCGGCCGCGGAGACGGAACGGAACGGAAGGCACGCTCGGGCGATCGACCCCGTTCGGGGAACGACCCAGAAACGACGCCGCCATCGCCCCGCCCCGCGGCCACGGCGCCCGCCGAGTTCGGCCGTCCCCCGGAGGGCCAGCGCCGTACGCGACGCCCTTCTCCTTGTTGGCGAAGCGCCCGCGGTGCGCCAGGGTGTCGGCGGCCTGGCACGGCCCCCCCTCTCCCGCCCTGCTCGCACCTCGCACCCCCGCCCCCTCCCCAGCAGGGACAGGAGGGGGAAGAAGGGCGGAGGAGGAGGAGAAGGAGAAGGAGAAAGAGGAGGAGGCGGAGGAGGAGGAGGAGAAGGAGAAAGAGGAGGAGGAGGAGGAGGAGGAGGAGGAGGAGGAGGAGAAGGCGAAAGAGGAGGAGGAGGAGGAGGAGGAGGAGGAGCAGCAGCGAGCACATGAAACAACGAGCCGACTCGGGATCAGAGACGGATGGAAGCACCAGCAAGAAGAGAGAACGCACACTCGCTCACAAAACACGGACCGCACATCGCACAGTGGCACGGCAGAGTGCCACGGCAGCGGGGCACGCCCTCACCGGACAGAGATCTGCCGACCCCCGCCTGCTGAGGGCAACAAGGCGTGTGAGACATTTGGCTGTCGGCCGCGGTGGGCGTGCAACTCAGAGCGAGGAGGTCGATGTCAGCGGCCACAAGATGGGCGATCCGCTCGACTGCAGCTCGCCACTGCGGCAAGAGCCGACGCGCTGCCCATGCGTCCCGGAAGCTGCAACCAACATGCGCGGACAAGATGTCCAGGGAGCGGGATACCTCTGGCCCGATGCGGCCACGGGTCTCGACCGCGATCGGGAGCACAGCGTGGCCGTGGTTTTGCTCATAGCGTCGACCCCTCAAGGCCTCGACCCACTCCCAGGACTAGCTCTTCATCCTGTTCCCCCTCACCTGGGGTCCAAATGCCCCCTCCCCTGTTCCACTCTCCCTCCCCCTCCTCCTCCTCCCCCTCCTCCTCGTCCTCCTCCTCCTCCTCCTCCTCCTCCTCCTCCTCCTCCTCCTCCTCCTCCTCCTCCTCCTCCTCCTCCTCCTCCTCCTCCTCCTCCTCCTCCTCCTCCTTCTCTCTCCTCTCCCTGTTCCCCCTCCCCTGGGGTCCGAATGCCGTTTGCGGGGGAGCGCGGCGGGAGGGGCGAGAGCTCGCCAGCGCACCCTCTATGGGGCCTCGGAGGCCTCCGAAAAAAGCCGCAGGGAGGACCCAGACAGGGCCGCCAAGGGGGTCGAAGAGATCGCCGAGACGGCCCAGAGTACAGTCGGGGCGTTGACCTAAGGAACCCTAAATAAGGAACGAGGCCCCTATTTTCCATAAGTTAACCTTAGATTTCACATCGAAAACCTAAGGAAAACCTAAGGCAAGCTGCGAAACTATCAAGGAACACGGAGCCCCTCCCCAACGAAAAGGGTTCCTTCTTCAGGGCCCCGACTGTAGCCCCAAGACGACCCAAGATGACTTCAGGACGGCACACAAGGCCCCCCAGACGGCCCAAAAGTTCCCCCGGAGGGCCGCATAGAAGGCCCCGATAGACAAACATCTTCCCATGACCTTAGACAGCTTCGTCTCCACAGCTTCTAAGACTGCCCAAGGAGCGCGTTGCTTTGTATTCGGCGATGACGGGCGTCATGGGTGGGGGGGGGCGGAGGGGGTATGACATAACAACCCCCCCCCCGCCATGTGGCTCCGGCACCACAGCCGCGCCCGCGCGCACGAAGAGGATGAGCGGCGAGCGACGAGCGACGAACGACGAGCGACGACGACGACGACGACGACGACGACGACGACGACGACGACGACGACGACGACGACGACGCGAGCAACATTTTAGGCGGCGATCTGCCCCACAGCGCCTGTGTACACCACAATGCTCGCATGCACCACAGTGCGCGTGTACACCACAGCGCCTGCGTACACCGCAACAGCCGTGTGCAACGCAGCTCCTGTGTACACCACAATGCTCGCGTGCACCAAAGCGCGCGTGTACGCCAGCGAATCCGCAGCAATCATGTGCAACACAGCGCCTGTGTACACCACAATGCTTGCGTGCACCGCACCGCCTGTGCACACCACAGCGCCTGCCTACACCACAGCATACGCGTGCAACGCAACGCTGATGTCACCATACACCACAGCGTCTGCGTGCTCAGGACAGGTAAAAAGGAGCATGTAGGTGAGGATCTGCTGTGGACAGCTAGACGCCACGGCCAGGAAATGCGAATACGTTCTTTCCACCTCCCTCCTCCTCCACCTCCACCTCCTCTTCCTCCTCCTCCTCCTCCTCCTCCTCCTCCTCCTCCTCCTCCTCCTCCTCCTCATCCGGCTTTTCCTCCTCCTCCTCCTCGTCTTCCTCCTCCTCCTCCTCCTCCTCCTGCTCTTCCTCCTCCTCCTCGTCGTCCTCCTCCTCCTCCTCCTCCTCCTCCTCCTCCTCCTCCTCCTCCTCCTCCCCTCCTCCTCCTCCTCCTCCTCCCCTCCTCCCTCACCCTTCCCCCATGTCGTGCGGGTCGGCGCTACAACGCACGTGCGCATCTCAGCGTGCACCGCAGAATGGTCGAATGAATCAGTCCACTTGGTTCTCGGACGGCCATTTTTGCCGGAGCCTCCTGGACGCAGATGGGAGGAGCTAGGATGATGCGGGCAGGCTCGGGTCGATTCGTAGATTCCAGCGGCGCTCCTTTTTCCATCTGGATTCCATTTCAAATCTTACATAGAACACTTGCTTTCTGTCAAATCCACAGGCGTTCCATTTTGTCTATATGCAACAGTGGTGCACTGTTGCACACGGATGCTGTGGTGCTCACAGGCGCCGTGGTGTACACAGGCGCTGTAGACTGTAGTACACGCAGGCAGTGTGGTGTACCCTGGTGCTGCGCTGCACACGGCTGATGTGGTGTACACAGGCGCTTTGGTATACACAAGCGCTGTGGTGCCCGCAGGCACTGTGGCTCACTGACACTGTGTTGCACGCGGCTGCTGTTGTGCACATAGGCGGTGTGGTGTACACAGGCGCTGTGGTGCACGCAGGCATTGTGGTGTACACAGGCGTTGTGGGGCGGATCGCCACCTACATGCTGCTACTACCCGTCCTCGGTCATGCCTAAGTATTCCCAGGAGCCGCCAGCGCGAAACGTTGCGTCATCGGTCCCCTCCACCCCCCCCCCCCGCCCCCCCCCAGACAATTGCCGTCATCGGCCCGGAGCCCCCCCCAAAAAAGGATCCAGCCGCGCCCGCGCGCACGACGACGACGATGAGCGACGAGCGACGAGCGACGAACGACGAGCGACGAACGACGAGCGACAATGACAACGACGACGACGACGACGACGACGACAACGACGACGACGACGACGACGACGACGACGACGGCGACGACGACTGCGGACCAAATTTCTGTGCGGATTCCTATCCGGACACCTACGCGGATCCCGATGCGCACGGCGGTAGTGCCTGGAGCGCCCGGGGGGGGGTGAGCGTTACGTCATCGGGGGGGGGCGGGGGGCATGACGCCCGTCATGCCCCAAGCAATAAAGAAACACGCTCGAGGGACCCCCAAGATCGTCACACGACGGCCGATGAGGCCTCCAGCAGGGCCCCAGACGGCCCAAGAGGGCCCTGAGACGGCCCCGGGGAGCCCCAGGAGAGCCCCAAGAGAGCCCCAGGAGGGCCCCAAGAGAGCCCAAGAGGGGGACTACGACCCGATACTTCAAGCCTTTCCCCCCAAGATGGTCCTACGAGCCACCCAGAACCTCCCGAGGCGCCCCAAAGAGGCTCCAAAGAGGCTCAAGAACCACAAGACGCCCACAAGAGAACCCCAAGAGGCCCCCCGCAGGCCCCCCCAAAGCCGCAAAAGCACTCCGACGGGCCCCTGATGCGCCTCCAGCAGCGATGCTCCTCGAGCCGTGTGCGGGATCATTCGCCACTGCTGGGCAGGTCAGTGCTGCACGCAAGGCTACGCGTTTGACGAGTCGGAGCGGCCGGCCACGGCATTGGTTCCTCAAACCATGATCTACAGCAGTCACCACTACCAGGCATTCCCATGCACACGGCAACGTTTTGCCGAGTCAGAGCCTCCAGCCACGGTGCTCCTCGAGCCCTGTGCCGGATCCGTCGCCACAGAAGTCAAAGGTAGATCCGACTTGCAAGGCCCTGCTCTTTCCGAATCAGAGCCTCCTGCCACGATGCTCCTCGAGCCGTGTGCAGGATCAGTCGCGACGACTGGACGGGAGGATCAGCAAGCCTCCAGCTCAGAGTTCACCAAGGCATCAGCCTCTTAGACAACGACAAGAACATGGTCGTTGCAGCCCAACTCTGCGCACCTGGGAGGGAAGCTCCTTCGGATGGCAGAGGTGCCAGACGAAAGCATCATCAACATGGTGAGCAACCAAGAGGGCGACGACTGGACGAACATGCTCCGCACAGTGCTCAACATAACGAGTTGGGTACAGCATGCAGCCGCCGCGCTAAGGAGCTGGAGCTGACAGCTGCTGCTCGAGGCCATGCAGTGCCCATTACGCCAAAATGCTAGATGTCACTTCCAAAAGATTGCAGCAGACGTGGGCGACGCAGGGAGTCACTACCATACCAAGCGAGCCCATGTGAGGCTCAGAGGTATGGGAGTAGGCTCGCCCAAGAAGCAGCTCATAGCCACGCCCCCGACGAGCAGGAAGCCAGATGGCACCATGGCGATCGACCACCAAGGGAGGGGAGATTGCTGGCTGCAGCAATTCGCGCTAGTTGAGTTCGCGGCAGGCGTGAGGCTGTGAGACTTGCACGCATTCGAGGACGTCATCTGGCCGCTACCGCAGGATCACGACCTCACCCTGGACTGCTCCCCGACCCTCCACGAGCTGGAGAAGACCCTCCGCATCACAGAGGACTCGGCAGCAGGAGGTGCTGGGCTCTCCGCGGCATGAGGCTCCCCGGCCCGCTGGCGCGGGCCTACACGCCGCTCGTGGCCAAGTCCGCGGCCACAGGAGAGGAGCCCATGCAGTGGGCACGAGGACGTCGCCAACAGTGCCGACCAGAGATGCTTCGCGGCCACGGCCACCTTTCGGCAAGAGGGTGCGCCACTGCATGCGTGACAGGCGGGCGGTCCACGCGCCATAGGACTCTGGGCCCACAGCAGTTCGGAGGCATCAGGCAGCGCGGCACTCGGCACG